TCTCTCTCTCTCTCTCTCTCTCTCTCTCTCTCTCTCAGCGACTATCTCCGACTGTCTCTCTGTCTTCGTCTCTCTCTGTCCCCCTCATTCACATTTAGTTGCATATTATTCACGTCACTGAGCAGCGGGGTAATATCGAGAAGCCTTGGACCAACAAAAATGCAATAGAATGTTCCCGAATATCTCATTCTGTAGTTTACGGTGTGAGAAACGTTTCTTGGAGTCTTCGGTCTAAAAAAGTTTTTAATACCATATAACGCTTGTTTTAGGAGTTATTTAACGAAATAGATTCAAAATATATTTCCGTGTGTGTTGCGGGTTGCATTTGACATGGGAATGGGTATTGTTGAGTTTTTTCTACAACGCCATCTAGTGAATCGTTCCGATATTTTAATGATTATTCTGTTATTTGGGTGGGGATGAATAAAACAAATCAGAGACAATTAAAATTTGTTCAGCCGTTCTTGAGTTTTAAATGGTTAACCCGATTTTGTTACATATAAGCTAGTGGTGACTGAAATTGAATTCCCGGATACATCTGGATATTTCTAACAACTGGAGGTATGTGGGAGACTCGAGAGTAGTGAGCTGCATTTCTATGCAGCAATGTAAATATTGATCTCGGCCAGTACCTATATTTTTCGCGGACACCCACCAGGCCACTGTGGACCTCTAGAGATACTTGTGCCATAGATTCGAAACCACTGCTGCACACGAATAACCAAGTTGTTACTCGTTCTATTTACGCTCGCGCTGTTCAACATTTTACTGCTACTTTCTCGCCCTGCTTTCTTCTCGGCGTCCATAAAGGCACGGCTGGCCAATGAGGGGCCAACCAGTCCATTTGTACCTTTAGGCAGGCCGTGTAAATGCTGCACCCTATTGGCGGTTGTCCGAAATGCTCTAGCGCACGCGGTTTAAACGTTCTGTGCGTACTCAGCAGAAACATACATCACAAATGTTACGGCATGTTCCTTTTATGCTTATTTCCTCCGCATGTTCCTTACCTCCCCTGCCGCTTCATTCTCCAATATGAAGTCAAGTGAAGTGACGTGCACTGCATTGTGGTCTTAATTCAGTGTAGAGTTAGATTATAGAAGCTTTTTTATTTTAGGTAATTTAATGTTTGATGAATTAGACAGATTTTATATCATTATTATTTTTATTATTAATGTTATTGTTGTTATTATTATATAATTTGAATATTAGCTATTTTATCTTATTTATGGAATTAGCTGCCACCGGATTATGCCCATTTGAAGTGCAAGTATCGTATCTTATCAATCTGTTACCATTATGTTATCAATATGTCCCTTGACAAGCTCACTTTTGTTCTACTCATACTCCTCCAAAAGTTCGCCATCTTCCGGTTATGATCGCCGCATGTTCCTATTTATTCTTGAGTATTTTTTACTGGTTCCCTCATAATCCCCGCGTAAGGCTTCCTTAAGATATCACGTTTCTGAAATGTGACAAAGATGCCACAGTATGTTTGTCACATTTCTTCCATGTTCCTCTTGTGTTTTTTACATAGTCACTCACATCTTATTCAATACTTGCCTAAAACGTTTATTTGCTTTCGTTTACTCAAATTCAAAAATGTTTTTTAAGTCGTGTCATTTGTTATGGTTAATAGTTTTTTAGGTAGAGGAATGTAAACGTTGTAGATAGAGGTTCACTCCGTACATTATGCTACAAAACGCTCTAGTGGTTAGATTAGTATTTTAACAAGCAACAATAAAATTCGCATACTGTTGCTATCAGACCAATGAAGTAGAAACGAAGAATTTTAGAACATAAAATTAAACAAACGTTATTTGTTCTTGTTCAATCAAAACTTGTCTTTTGGGGTCAACAATTTTTATAATGTGGAAAACAATGACTTATTACAATATTCGTGCGGTATTCAAATCAAATGTGCCAAAGTGTGGAATACAGGCACTTGTATATCTACCAATTTACGGGTAAATTACATTTGAGACACGTTATTCCTAAAATGGAATTTTATTCTTTGTCTTAAATACAATGTAAAACTTCTTTCAGGATTGAAAGTGATCTAAAGCTAAGCAAAAAATCAGAATTCCTATCTGCGACCTCATACATCTTACTGTAAACAGAATTTATTAGCATGAATTTACGTAATCTGCAAAAAATGTTAACTGCTACCACTAGACATACAAACAGGAAAATGGGCCTTCTACTTTCAGTACACATGAACACATGCTTGAAAAACAGTTTAATGGCTTTTAATGTACTACTTTCGCTTGTGTATGCGTTTGAAGCGGAACGTGGAAGAGACCTGCCAGAGCATAGTATCAAGGTTGTGGCGTCTCGTTTCTGACTCTCAAAATATACTTCTAGTTGGGGGGAAAGCTAGGAATAGTGAGGAATACTTCCAGCATGAGTGGATTTTAGGTCAGTGTATAATATGCATCTTTGATCTTCGTACAGCCTTAAATAATGGCAGTTGAGCGACGATTCGGGCAGCTGTTATTGTTAAGGTTGCCGTGAGATAGCGATTTCGGGCCGACAGGTCGTGAGTTTGACTCCCTCTTCGGTTTGAAAGTTTACCCATATCTTCTGGTATGGTGAGCATTCCCGGTCCAATCACCTTCTGACCCACATTCTTTTTAGTACTGACCTTTCTATGTGACGTATGAGCTTGCAAGGGGGGCAAGTGCTTATTACACCAAGTGTCATCCCCTGATTCCCTGTGTTCCGTGGGACAGACTCGTGCCCTTGATTCTGCAGAACAGTCCCAGCCACCGTGTATCTGACATCTATCCCTCTATAACAAAGAAATACCTAGTTTTGTGGACCTCGTCATTTGTTGGTCCTTAATACTGAAAATCGAATGATGGCAAAACATTTGTCTGTCTATCCGTCTATGAATAACGCTAGCGGCAAAACCGTTCAGTGTTTTTTTTCTCCAAAATTGACATTCCCCAATTGATATGGCTGATGTCGTCACCCCTTGAATTTGAAACCTATATTTTAATTTTTGAAGTACTTTACATAAAGCTCCTGAAACATTTTCAAAACTTAAAAAAATCTTTCTTAAACGTGTATAATGCGCCTAAAGAAAACATGAACAAAATAAGAAATTTGTCTTCGTAAGTTAGAATCCCCAACGGGAAGATTAACAATATTGAAACTGAATTCTGTTGTAATTACTTCCATCAATGCACAATCGTTTAATCACAGCATAGTGCCAGTAATAAAACCTACCTCGCCAGTACAAACGTTGATTGACTCCTTCTGACCACACAATTGGAGTTTGTTCGTGTTTGTAATCCATTCCGTTGGCTCAGTTCACTTTCACTCGTTAAACAATCATGATTTCATTGAAAGCATGCCACATAATCGAACTATATTAGCAGCAATAATCTAATAAAATTAAGTGACTGATACACATGAATCACAAGGCAATTTCACTAAGCAATACCATTATTCATTAACAATGTTATTGATAGTTTATGATAGATTTTATTAATCAGATTACTCTTTAGTGTAAACAATCAGTTTGTTTGAAATAAAATTAACAGTACATAAACTTAGTTCATTTCATTGAGTCTTCAAAATACGTTTCCGTTACGAGCTCTATTGTAACTCCATCATCCGGTAAATAACATGAAGCTAAGAAATTTAAAATAAAAAAAATCATATCGATTAAAAACTGAATTAATAAAATCATTGAAACTTTAAAACATGAGGAAATATGTAAATTATGTAAACAGAAAGCATTCAGATTAAGAAGATTACCTTAAATGTAGAGTGGATTCAAATTCAACATATTTATTCAACATATATAAACAGAATTTGAATTCACACTACTTATAACTTATAGCTAAAACCTATCCAGATAGCTGACTACGCTGTCATTGCTTTGTATAGAAATATAAGAAATGGGAATATTAAAAAAATTACGAAAACAGTCAAGTACTTTGTGAGAGTGGTTAATATTGTTTTATTACTTTTACGTTTTGAACGGCAATTATTTCACATTTTAAATTTAATAGGAAAACGAGACAGAAACATTCTAATTTCGGCCAACAAAAACGCAACTACTGCCCTCCGATTGCGAAGCTTCCATGGTAGTTCCCCTTGAAGGTGAAGGTAGTTTCCAAGTTCCTAGCGCACCACCGTGTTGCGGTGGGGGAAGTTTCTAGCGTCAACTTCTAATCCCTCTTCCCCCTAACGTGGACAATAGAATGTCGTGGTATCTATTCCTCGCCCCCTGTCTACTTCCCCGTCAGGAATCAGTGCACTGAACACTACATAGGATAAACTCGAAAATACATGGTGTAAATTGTTTACAAGTGTAAATCAGGTGAAGGTGGTGGGGAAGTACTATAGTTGTTTGAAGTTCAAAATCGTTGCCTTCAGAATAAAATATCAAAATGTGTATGTATTTGAACACTTCAACCTCGTTACATTGTATAAGCTTTATGTTGAATAAATTTACCAGCAGATTAATGTAATCGCTTAATGACAAAAGCGTTTGCCCATAGCAGTGATTATTATAATCCCTTCAATATCTATTTATTCTATGAAATCATTATACACGATTAAATTTCTAAATAACAAAGAAAATATATTTTTTGGGCTCTAGATGTATAATTAATAATTATACTGATTATGCGCAGTTATGAATGATTTGTGAGAGAGAACATGGTGATACAAACGTGTTGACATGGATAGAATTTATGAACATTTGAGACATTTGCAAACAGAAACCAATCCTAAACAAATAAAAATATATCTAAACCCTAAGAGGAAAATAATATTCAAGCTCATTTCATGTTTTTTCTTTATTTATATTGGTATTTATATCTTGTGTAAAAAAACCTGATTTTATGAAACGGTATTGATGTTGTCATCGCCAATAGACTCTTCAATTTTATTTATATAAATAGAAGCAGAGGAAAAACAAGAAGAACAAGTTCAAGTACAAGAGAAGTTGCGATATGAATTGTGTAGAACGATAGAGAAGTTGCGAGATGAATCGTGTATGACGGAAATAACGAAGAACAAATGTATTATATACTAGCAAACGTACCCTTCTTTATCAGGTAATTTATTTAACACAATCGTCTATTAAAGAGGAAAAGTAACTAATTCTATCCGTAGTGTACGAGTATCCCTGCCCTAGCCTTCCCTGCTCCGCCCTACGCCGTACCTGCCTAAACCAATCGTCCTCGTCCTCCAGCTCTGACCCTGCCCTGTCTCGCCAGCCTCCGCCCCTGCCCCCTCCTGCCATGCCTGACTTAGGTCATCAACTGATGCCACAGCACGGCCTCTGACCGGGACACGGCCTCCTACGGTGCCACGCCTGACGGCAGCTAGATTGTCAGCACTAGCTAGTTAGCTAGGTCGAATTCAGCAGCTGTCTAGAGAAGAATTCCAGCGGCCGGATGCTCTGTTCGGCGGTTTTCCGCACTGATGGTCATCAGGCGAATGCCGGAGCAGAATCCTACGAATCGCCCGCAATCTTTCTTTCTTACACTTAATTACAGTACACTACCACACTTGTTCGGAGACAAGTCGGGAGCTTAGAACGAGGCGCGTTGGGGCGGTGCACCGCTGGTGGGAGATACCTGGTGAGGGAATATCTTTTCAAACCTACGGGTAGGTTGGCGCCGGATCTCACCTTCCAGCGGGAGACGATCACGGCTACATTCAGCGATGGAACATGCACTACAATTACGGCGATAATAGCCTTAGCAAGTAACGCGCTCGAAATCACCATTCAATCAAGCATGCAAGTATTAAAATATTGCCTCTCGTTACGATCACAGTTTCCAGATAAGTAAAATACATATACGTTATGACGCACATGCAACCAGCAACACTAATTACACTGCAACACACGTGGGAATTATGATTACTGATTAACTCGGATACGATGCGTCCTAGGCCATTTAAATCGAACATGGCCAGTTAAGAATACATGTTATATATCTCGTGACATATTCTACACAGGATTCGTAGATTTCATTTTTGGTCAGTACCTTCACTACGTTGCATAGACTAACTTCATTACACAATATCCAAGTATCATTTGTATACAGCGTAGATAAAATGTATGTAAATATTTGAAATTTTGGGAAAATAGTCAGATTCTACCGGCCAACTAACAGTGTCCCCCAAGCCTAGAACTTGTTAAATTACCATGCTTGGGGAGTAGGAGCGACAAGTGACGAACATGTATTCCCTTCACCGTAACTAGCAAGATGCGCCTGCCAGAACTTTCTTCGTCACACAGCTACAGAAATGGTCAATTTCAAAGGAAAGCTACAACTCTATTTTTGTCTCGACAGAGAATTGAACTAGGGATCACGCCATAGGAAGCTATCACACCGGCCATGCGCCTAGAGAGTTAGAAAAATTAATATGCATACGTAACATAGAAGTGCAATTACCCCTGTAAGCACAAAAATTATCTAGAAAGAGACTTTTACACTTATTTTACATTACATTTTATTTAATAATATAAACAAACACAAATTTATAAGACACACACATTTCCGAATTCTAGAAGTTGAAAACAGGTACTGGAACAGAATAAAAGTAGAATCCATACATATACACAACATCCTTAGTCTTACCCACCAACATGACTTGTCTTTACCAACAGATCCCAGAACTCTCTTCACCTCCGCTAAAATTAGCACAAAGCTCACTCCCCTAACCCCCCCCCCTAACTCCACTCGCCTTCGCGCGCCCGACCCCTCCCCACTCCTCCACCAGCACCTCCTCCTCATAGGATCCTTCGCCCTCACCCCCTCTCTTCCCCCTACCACTGCCGACAGACGCTCTGTTTGTGAACAAGACACACTCTCTAAAACCGCAGAACTTCGTTTTCGACCCGGAAGCTGCAAGATATGTACGACCCAGTTTGTTTACGCATCTGGCATACAATGTCTATATTCTGTACGTAATATCTTGTACTAACTTGTACTTAATTGGTGTATAAAATATGTTTTAATGTAATTTTATTCCGATAATTCTAATTTTAGCTCTGAAGATGATCGTTACACGATCAAAACGATCATTAGCAAAATGAATTTTTGATACCAGACAACACCTTTACATGCATGTACGTCTGCCTGTCAATGAATTGAGAAAATTCTTCCAGAAATATACTATATTTTCCGGCCGTTGTGACTCAACTTACTGCCTTACTAATTTTAAGTGAATCTTTTCACAAAGCTTACTACATGTAAGGGAATCACTCGCCTTTCATTCGAATGAGAAAAACACAACAAATGCGTCTACTGTATTTCTTTAAAATAGTTTTTATTTGAAGTTCTATTTGCATGTTGAAAATGAAAAATGAATATGAATAAGAAAGAGTGAATTTTGAAAAAATTGTTCTGTAAAATGGATTTTCAAAAGATGTGATGTAATTAGTCTGTCACATTTGTATACATCTTTTTAATGCTTCCTGCACTTACCTTCGATTCTTTAATTGGCCAATTATTTGTGCACTTCCACCGATCTGCTAGAAATATAATTGCTAGGAATTTTCATGAATTCGTTAATAGAATAGAATAGAATTGTTTAAATTGTTTCCTAGTAAACGTATTCAGGTTCGGTAATAGCGATCATGTTTTATAGAAATTTTGATGAAATGTGGAAAACCAGAAACGTACAAAAGTATGTCGATGCATTTAATTATGATTATATGAAAATAGTGATACTTCATAGTTGTTCACAAAAATATTTGGTCTAATGGCTCTGTTATTAATATTGACCAATAAACCTCAACTTTGATAAATGTTGGTGTTCTAGAGTCAAATTGAAAATATGTCATTATATGTGCATTCATTGCATTGCTCTGCATTCATTGCATTGCACTATGTTTCGGTCGCCTATCGATTTATTTCTATTGTGGAATGAATGATTAAATTGCAGACATAAAATTTCATCAGTTAAGAAGTAAGATTTTACTTATTTCTCTTCGACAAAATTTAAATATAAAATCCACGATTTTTGTCCCATAGCAGACCGTAAACATTACTGTTACTTTCTAAATTCATGAATGAGTGAAAACGTGTCGTAAACAGATCTTTTGATTTCGGTGAACACAGGACAAAGTCAGACAAAACTTCTTTTCAGTCCCTATGCTATTGACTACAATTCTACGAATTACAGCATTCTCAGAAGCCAAGCGATTGGCAAGCTGTCAGAACTAATAGGGTGGAGAAAAGGAAAGGAAATATCTCCCCTACAGACTGTACCTGTCAGGGTTAAATACATCGTTCGAATCATGCTCAGTCAGATCTATATTTTTGATTTGTGTCAATTTTCAGTATTTTAATATATGTACAATTTCAGCCAGTCCGAGAGGTTGACCTCTAATGTTCTGCCGACAGGTCAGAATGAAAGAGTTGTCACAGTAAAATTAACGTAATTCGTTAACGGAATTAGGCTTATAAACATCAACTATCACATCGGTTTACGAACTTCAACTAAGCTATTTATTTGTATTATTGGCCTTGTATCTCTCAAAACCTTTCATAATAATTGCATCTTCTTTGTTTTTTACTTGGCGCGTCGGCTCATGTACGGATCATGGCCTATCAGAAGCGTCCCGGCCTCACGGCCATGGGTCAAGGGGGTACGTTTGATTGGCAGGAAGACATCCCCACTCCGTTTGCTGGTCTTCTCAACCTGAGAAGTGAATTTTCTCATCGCCAAACAGCAACATATACTGGGACTTTGCAAGGAAAACGCACAGTATAATCTTATCTGACCGAATTGCATCTTCTTACAAGAAAAAATATAAAAGACATGAATAAATATTTCTTGGAATAAGCGTACTCTTATAAAGTATAGCTTCTTTTTATTGTTTAAACCTTTCTTAAGAATGGCTTTTCGTTCCTCTGTCAGGTTTCTTTTAAATAGATGTAAAACTAAACGAACGATGTAAGACTAAAAAAAGAATTTAACTCCCAGTACATGCGAAGCCTGTGAGTTCACAAATTGTATATTTAAGTGAATAAAGAACTAACAATTCGGGAAGTGATTTGTGGTTTTGAGTATGTTCTACCTCAACCTGGAGGTTTCTCATGATAACATTTTAAATAGTCAGAAACTATTAAATAAATGCCAAATAAGCTTTGTCGAACTACCAGTTTGCATTTTGTATTCTGCTGTTTTTTATTTCGATACACAGTCACCATTGCACGCACGCACCTCACAGTGCACCAACCTTAGTTGATGAACTGTTATATCAGAAGTGTTAAATTGTGCTAAAGAGTAAAGAGTGTGCTAAAAGTAAAAAGTGTTAAAGAGGCCGTCCAGTGGTTCGTATTTAGATCGTAATTCATTAATTGTTTTGATTTTTAATTATTTTTTGTTTATTGATAATTAATTGTTTTTTGATTATTGGGGTTCTTTTATCGAAGAGTATTAGTGCATAATTATTGTATTTTGTAAAACAATTGTTCTATTATGTCATCAACGAGTGTGTACAATTTGTTATATTATTAGTGGGTCTCTGCAGGCTTGCAGAGCTCTCTTCGATACGCAGGTCAATCAAAATCATAGCAGTCCTGCCGAACGTATAAACTCAAATAGGAAAGTAATAATATTATTAAAATATCTTAATCTTCTGAAAGTATTTCTTATTTGATTAAGGTGTTGTTTTCTTCGAGCTGATCTCTATGGATTTATATTGTTTTCAAACGAGATCCCATGACCTTTAGTTTTGTTTCGACGTTTCGATGACGTTTCGATACGATTCCGTGTTGACCTTTCTTTTTGTTTATAGTTTCAAATGCTCCAACTCAAATGCTCTTCGAGCTCTCTAGCTAGTGTTCTGCCACCATCGGATCTCGACCCTCTACCTCCCTATCTCCCTCCTTCCCTACCTCCCTCCTTCCCGATCTATCCCCTTCCATACCTTCCTCGTTCCCTCCCTCTGGAGGCCCTGCCGTGCCATGACGTGCTGCCCTAAGCCAGTGCGACTGTCGGACAAATGAGGCGCGCTGTTTGGTAGACGCATTCGTCCCTGGATCTGACGGAGGCGTGGCGTTGCGCAGGTGTGCCACACGGTGTCCATCTGGCTGACGGTGACGCTGGCCGTGTGGCGCTACATCGCCGTGGCGCACCCGCAGCGCAACCGCGAGTGGTGCAGCCACAAGACGACGTTCGTGGCCATCGCCGCCGCCTACGTGCTCAGCCCGCTGCTGTGCGTGGCGCACTACCTCGCGCTCACCATCACCTCCGGCGAGGCCCCGGTCGACAGCGAGGGCAACAAGGTGAGCCACACCACTCAAACATTACTCCTAAAATTACTCGTCTGTACAGCAGGGTTACCAGATGTACAATCAGCTGCCGTTAGATGACGGTAAATCCACCCAATACAAAAAAAATCAAATTTGTTAAACGGGAAATTTGAATTTGCATTAAAATGATGTTTAGGGACGGTTTTTTTAAGTTAGTGACGCTACGAAATGCTTAATTGACATTTTTTTTGTTTCTGAACATTTTAACTAAAAATTTATGTCGAAAATTACACTTTTTTGAAATAATAAGTTTTATCTTAATATTTTAAAATTACTTATGACTATTCGAATGACTACAGCAAGTGGGAGGAATACTTTAAAGTATAAAACAATTTCCCTATTTTCTCATTTTCAGTTTCCTAGCTCCTTATAAATATCCGCGCCTAAAAAATTACAACAAAAATGCTTGTATATGAAAGCTTCTTCCTTATTTCTTAACGGAAAACGCTGACAGTGACACCGTACTTCTAGAAGATGACTAATTTTAAATGGCGGGTTTATTAACTGCAAGTACTGCCAGTGTGATATATTTATATACTAACGTCAAAAATGCTATGACATTTAGAACACCCCCTTTACTACAGGTCTTAAAACTAACATTATTCACTTCTCAAAGTAAATTTAAACGTATTAACACATTATTATTATTATTATTATTATTAACAAACATGTATAATGTAGAAAACTAAAAAATAAAAAAAAACACTGTCAACCTCGTTGTGGTTGTTTTTGGAATATTTCCTCGTAATCTGAAAACCCTGCCAAAACCGCACATGTTTTGATGCATTTCCGCCCATTTGCGTGGTGTTCCGCGAAGTCAGTTTTGTACCGCGAAAGAGAGCCTTTTCCAGCTCAAAATGCGGATTTCCGCTCAATGAGGCAACTCTGCTATACAGGCCAATGGAACATTTGAATTGCTGCAAACAAAAAGGTTCGATGTCACATATCACCGGTTTTGAGTTAACAGTGGAAAACTGTCCTTGAATTATAAATTCAACCTTCCATGCGTAAAAGTTCGTTGTCTCTGGCTTCTGTGACGTCTGAAGAGTGTCCTTCAACTGTTAATGTTAAGAAAAAATGTTCCATGTCCGGAACTTATTTGCTTGCTCTTCAAAATGTGAAGCTCCTGGACATCGAACGTCCTTGTTTTCTCCGATTAAATTACTTAGGCTGTCACTTTTAAGAACCTTGTCTCACGAGATTTGCGTTGACGCATGATCGACGCACGATAAGTAACGAGTATCGTAGATTAACACTGTATCTTAGGCGGAACGGTCAAAGCGCCCATGTGCCTTTTGGTATAAGATGCAGTGTTATTCTACAACGCGCGTTATTTAACGTGCGTCAACGCAATGTTCGTGTGCAGAGGCCCTAAAAGCGTTTCTTTCGGGGCATGCGTAGCGTGACGTGCATGAGACGATACTCTATATGTACAAAGGGAACAAAATTATTTTTTCTAACCTTACTACTACTGACCATAATGCATTTTAATGCGATTTGTATACTTGAATTAAAATAAAATGTGTCAGTAAGGCTGTCTAGAATTAGTACGTGACAAATTGGGTAAAAATTATTTTATTTTGCTCGTAGGATTGCATCTCGTGTCGCAACATTTCCTCTTTACAAAATAAAATATTACTTTTACCACTAGCATCATAAATAATTATTTTGAAAAGTTCCAAAACAGTTGAGCATCGGCGAAGACCACATCGCACTGCGAAATCTATCCTTCCGGTAGCCGGAAATCTGGCCGCCACCTGTGAACGATACAGATTGATACATTTTTTATAATTGAAATATGCATCTTTATATTTTAAATGCATTTCGCATTTTACGTTTACCTCTAGGGGACCAAAAAATTGAAATAATGTTTAAAACGTTTTTTAGTCGCCAAAAGAGGGCAGCTGGGAAGGGGGTGGAGTAATATTCAAAAGCCTAGAGTAAAGAGATGGGCAAACTAATAGTAAACTAGTGCAATGCACTCTGTGACATTCAGTAACACGACTATTTTTTGAGTGTGCCAGTGATTTGGACCTTTCAAGACGTTTGATATTTACTTATCTCGGTATACATGTTTTCGAACACGATAAATATATTGATGATTGAAAATTTGTTGATTGAGACTCTCCCAGAAAATGTCCGGGAATAGTGGAAAGAGGGCGTGCTGCGGCGCGGCGCCGGGCTGCAATGTGTGCGCAAGATCTGCCACGCACGAACGCTGCGTCGGAATTCTGTTAATGGCAAGAGACTGAGGAAAGTTCACTTACGGAATCAAAAAACAAACTAAGCTCCGCAGTGAAACCCAATTTGTGCATAGCCTGAATGAACCTTTTTGGGCAGCACGGTTCATCCAGTTGTTTATTAATTATTAGTGTTAGAGGACCTCTTTACCTTCGTTCCATCGTGACAATTTTATACGAGTATAAAATATTTGTGTTTAATGATTAACATACTAATAAGCTACTCAGAAATAATATTATTTCACGTTGGCAAATAATTGTTATTAGTAATAGTTGTAATTAACGATGAACATGCTAATAAGTTAATCAGAAATAATATTATTTGAACAAACAACGTTTTTCACGTTGGCAAATATTTAAGCATTATTCAGACGACATTTTATAAACAGGTTTTCTTCGTTAATGTACGAGGTTAATACACATTTCTAGAGAAATTAGAAGTGTCCTGATTTCATGATCAACATTTGATAAATAATGTTATAAGAAAAAGTGAACTAAATAGATGAAATGAACATGATACTTGCGTACAGCTTTAAGAAATCAACATTTTCTTTTACTAGTAAGTATGTTGACATGAAAGAATAATGACTTGAAAAATGTTTCATTATACGATGAATAGTTAAGTATATACCCAAATGCTTTAATTGTTTTCAGGTATATATGTAATGGAGTCTTCGACGTTCTTGAAAAAATTATCATTTACGAGAGTAATTTATTTCAAAAGTTGAAATAAGTATATTTAGATATATTTTTCGGTATTTAATAAATTTATTAATTTTGTTTTCGAAACTATCACTTGTATTTCAATCATTGCAAAACACTGAACATTTTTAAGTTTGGAAAGAAGAAGTAGTATGTCAAATTACTCATCTATAATTTACATTTTATACCTGTTCTACGATTTATCTTCTCTTATTTCACGTTTTTGGCATGTTTAACGTAATTTGCGTTTCTTTCTCAAAATAAAAAATATTCAGCTGTCTCATATTTTTAATTACTAAACCTTAACATATCACAAAATAAATACGTGTGAGTCGGACAAACGAAACATTATTTGTTCTTTCTAAATCAGACAACTGGTAGCGTTTCCTCCTTACTTAGCAACAAAAAATGGCTATGAAAATAAGTTAGAAATGATGTAAGTAGGTTATTTCAAAATAAAGTAAGCAGTGATGTAGAATTATTTGCAACATTGGTATATTCTAGATTACAACTTACTTGCATGACTGTCATTATCTTCCATATCTTGCATTTTCTGCAAAACGCAATGACTTATCTCAGCTAAATTGCAAATTCGTATATCCTTCAATACGTAATTGGTAGTTGACTTGATGTTGGCAGATCTGATTCATATTTGTATCTTAGGCGCTGTAATACTCTCTCATCATTGAGCTTGAAAAACTACATTGTCCTACCTTTTCAATAACAATTCAGTGCTTATTTTCAAACCTGATTTGCTCATGTATGAAAGTATACTTTCATGAAATACAGATGTTTATTAATACATCACATAAAGTAGAAATCATATTTTAAGTGACAGTACAAACACTTGCTATTCTATAACAACATATAATGTATTCGTCTTTTTACCATCCACTCTCAGATGACATTATACAAATAATGTACGATGTCGTTCGTGTGTTGTTCAGGGAGAATATTTCAATGGAAAAATACTCGGTTTTCATGGTACAGTTTTCGTACATTTCGCTGGCACGAGTGCTCGATATTTTTCTTGGCGGGTGAAAGAACGGCTATGAGACCCTGCGGAACGCCGCCGCGAATCGCCCGTTCATCAATCACCGGCGAGGCGGAAGCGGTTACTTCCAAGCGAGCAACCGGCTTCAGGCGCCGTTCGTGAACTCGCGGCTGGATGCGAGTCGAAAGCCGCTAGCTGGCGATGCATCAACGTCACAAACGATCACACAGCGCCAGCCCCGTGCAACGCTCAACTGCTGGTGAGACCTGTGCTCTTGATCCACGCAACAACCTCAATTAATACTCCTCACGAGGCCCAATTGCGTAATGTGTTTTCTGTTTTATGTCTTCGTTCCTTTCGGTGCCTACCACTGACCCGACTCTTCCCCCGCTGAGCCTGTTTACTTCAGGACCGGTTAACGTGTTATCTACCAGACTTTCCATCCGTCGCGACGACCTGGCTCCGGAATCCATACGCCGAGGAAATATGTCGGTTTTTGGTAGTTTTATAAGAAATCCCTGGCACAAAACAATCTGAGCGTGTTAATTGTAAATATGGATCACTCCCCGATTCTGTATCAGAGCGATTAAATAAGAAAGTCACAGAAGTTTGCATATTAGGGAAATGGACGCGTATTTCACGACCAACATTACGCTGCGCAACTGTTAACCATCGTGAATAATTCGAACACGATGCATACTAGGACCTTCAAATCTGGTTTTCATGTTCCCGTAAGGGACATGGGTTATTGTCCTTCTCTGCAAAATGAGAGCCTTTTGGACTTTCTGTTACTTTAAACTTGTATTACATATTTCAAAGGTTTAATTATCCTACAGTATGAGTTGCCATATATTTTACATGACTGACAGCTGCCTAGTTATCTTTCAATTTTTGCACGCATTGGAATTTAGTAATATGGATTTATGCTCAACGGCGATTCAAGGTAATGGAGAGACCCACATCATTCAACAACACACGTCTACGATTAATTCGAAGCAACATATCACATCTAAAGCCTACTACAGCGCAAATGCCAGACCTGGTGTCATCGAGGCTGGCAAGAACCTGAAGCGTAGTGAATGTGCCTCGCAACTCAGATCTGTAGGACGGTGTAGGCCATTGCTGATGCCTTCTTTGCTGTTAAACCAATTGTAACCTTTCAGGAGTCAATGGCATCTTTTGTCTTAAAAACAGATGAAAGAAAGAAAAGAAGATAGGAATAAAGAAAGAAAGAGATTAGGAAAAGCAGTCGCTATTATTAGAACTTCTGAAACTTTTGCCGTGAAGTAACCTACTAAGTAAGGCTGTTTAACACCTACAATATCCATCGACTGCCTTTGTATAAACTGTGGCTGACCAGACTGGACGCTTTTTGTATTGAAAAAACAAGCATGCCATTTTCCTTGTGCTAAAGATCGTCTGATTAGAAAACAACGCTGCTGTCACTCAGCGACAACCGAAAAGAAAACAATGTTCGTTCATAGTACTGGGTGCCGTTGTGACGTTTCATTTGCAGACATATAGTTATATTAAAATGATATTTAGGTTACAGTTAATTCGGTCAAAACCAATGCCAATATATCCAGGTAAAAACAAGTTCATCAAAGAACCCCAATGTTATGTAATCTTACGACAGTAAAGAACATAACGCAAACCCTATTGCAGGAGAAATTTATGCAGTATGCGATATTCAAGTAATACAACTCATCCAATTTCAATATATTTTTGATAATCACGTTCACAGAGATTGATTTCTATTGTAATAATATTTTTTTACATTCCCTTAGAAGTTATCATGTATAATGAGTAATATACGTAGTATAGGAAAGTTATGTAATGCTGTGGAAAATCGATTTAGAAATTTAAACGGAAATGCACGTTTTGGGGTCCTTTGATACCGAAAAGTGGTTCTATTCGAAAGTCCATCTCTCCGTCTGACCGCCTGTGTGTTCGTCTGTGAACACTACTAGCTCTTGAACAGTGTGTAGGATTTTTTCTAAATTGAAGAAAGCCCTGTCCATCTGTCTCGAGTCGAAGCTTTCAGATTTGGAAAAGCATTTTTCAAAATTTAGAGGTTCTTTACATGAACCCCTCCGGACATTTTTAATACTATCGCAAAAACGGCTCCAATTTGTTTTTTAAATTTCTTGTGAGAATATGGTAATTAAACACTTATAAAAGCGGAATGGGTCTAATTTTCATGGTTACCTGTGAATTTTCGAGAACTTCAAAAGTATTAATTTCGTTCGATGTCTTCCTACAACTACAAAATTGAAGATATAAATTGAGCATAATTAGTTCTTTTATGAAGGTCATGTACATTTTTTTAAAACTTTAGTACTTTTCGCGCAATATTGCTTGCAATATTTAAAACAATCAAAATTTCTATTTACTCAAAAACGGTTCTAAATTTGTGGAACTTTTGGTACGGATAGTACTAAATTCACTGTATAAAATGATATGATCCCCATAGTGCTGTACTCTTTCGTTTTTTCAAAAAATTCAAAATGTATTTTTTTTATTTGTCTCACATATCGTTAATATGTAAAAATAGCGGCAATTTCTTTACGTTAATGTATCTATGAGTGCATGTGCTTTAAATAATGTCAGATAATATTTCCTAATACTCAAAAGTTTTCTGAGAAAATGAGCTCAAATTTTCGCATTTTCAGACCCGTTCAAACGCTTTTTTTCTCAAAAATGGCTTCAAATTTTTTCTTCAAACTTTTCCAACAGATAGTGCTAATTTCATTGTTTAATATGACAGACAATTAATTTTGCTGAATTCAATTGTTTTCTCAAACAGTATACGCGCAATTTTTTAATTATCTCTAACGCCTCTTTGTACTTTTCCAGCAATTGGTAAACACTATTGCATTTCAGAGTGAAAGAGCTTGAAATGACTTCAAATTAACATTTTACGAAATCTCAATATTTTTTTGTGAAAAGAGATTAAAATTGAGAATTTACAGTAGCACTTAAATCCATTTTCTTAAAATTGACTCCAGATATTTCAAAGAAAATTGCAAACTAGAGGTAAGTTTTACCGTTCTTTAATATTCTTAAAATGAAATTTCCGTTCTACAATAAAGAAACTGAAAAATTAGAAAACTTAAAAAAGTATACTTTGGGCGGCCTAGATGGTAGCTGACAATAGTATGTGGCAAGTCCGAAAAGCTAGCCGAGACCAAAGAAAATAGAAAACTAATACAGGAAAGTCTGTGCCATTCTGTAGCACCACTAATTATAAATTGATTTATAAGATATAACATTTGAAATAGCTAAATTTTTATATAAATGATTATCAAATTATAATGGGATTACATGTTGAAATTTGATGTTATAAAATTACAACCAAAATAACCACAAACCTAACTGTTGAGGCTGCAAAATATTGCTTAGATGGTTGAAAGGCCAATTGCAAAATGTGCACCAAAACGGGTGTTCCAAAGAGTTCAATACCAAATGAATTCTTGCTTCTTGTGCGAGAGTATCCGTGGGATGTTGGGCAAATTAACACTACCTCCAAGGAGCGGCTTTGAAATGTATGTACTTTTGTTTCGTAAAGAACCTCAAAGAATTATCAAAATGATAGAGTTCCAGATGTGGAGTAACATTTTAATTAATTACCTATGTGCCAACATTAACAATATGTGCTACCGATAGTGAGATGAGGTTTTCATCTCAATTGTATATCCACGAGTAAAAAGCATTCATTCCTTTCTTAGATTTTTTAGAGATACAGTTCAAATTCCTCATGTGATATTTGTGTACATTTTGGATTAAAAATTGGATTAGAGTAAAACAGTGTGCGGGCAGCAAGCCGGCGAAATGAATCACGCAATGCCAATAGTGCGAAATATCAAATTTCGGATGATACGTAAAGACCTGCCAACCTGTATTCCAACCGTTAAGCCACGAAATAATTTGGTTGCATTGCAGGAGCCATCTCACTAGTACGAATTTAGCT